CCCCAAAACCCCAAAACCCCAAAACCCCAAAACCCCAAAACCCCAAAACCCCAAAACCCCGATTTGTGGGCAAAATATTGAAATATCATCACCATAGAGGCAAAGGAAGGAAAAGACGATGACGTAATTTTGGAATTTTTAGAATGCAGTTAGCTGTAGAGGATGGACTTAAGAACATCACTGAAGAGTAAGGTCAGCATGGCGTGAGGAGCGATTCTGAAGTAGTAGGTGGGGAATCCAGTGTAGAAGCCGAGAGGTCCTTCCTTGGCGATGGTCTTCATGGCGCAGTCCATCATTCCTTTGTATGGAACAGTTCCATCTGGATTTGCCTTCATTCTTTGTAATTTTGTCTTGACATTATCGAAAGGAAGACTAAGGAATGACGCAAGGAACCCAGCGATGGCTGAAGCACCGAAGTTAGCTACTTTGGTTGGTCCGGTGATCTTAGAGATCATCTCCTTTGCTTGATCGTAAGGTCCGAGCATACCAAGGTTTAGGAACATAGCTCTTACCATGGTTGGACCAACTCCCTTCCATAAAGCTGCAATTCCTTCTTCTCTTGCTATCCTTGTAAATGCGTCTGCGACGTTCTTATAGTTCCTTCTCTGCTCCTTTGGAAGGGTAGAGTCAGTCTGGAGTCTGATGAGAGCAAGGTCTGCTGGGTTACCGAACCAAGCCCCAAGTCCTCCTGCAATGAGGGATGCAAGACATCTTTGTCCAAATGAGATATTTTCTTGACCTTCCGGAAGATTCTTCTTCATGGACTGAGTAACATTAAGGTAGATACCGAATCTAGCGGTTGTATAGGTTGCTTGTCTCACCAGAGCAGAGTCTAGCCCTCTATAGAATCCCTTAATGCCTGCCTCTGCTTTAAGCTCTTTCGCAACGGAGAATGGGGATAAATTCTTTGAGCCACTTTCTCCTCTGACTTGTAGTCTAACTTTGACAATATCGATAGGCTGAATGACGCAAGTGGACATCATTCCAGAAAGACCTCCGATAGCGAAATTGGTAAGGGTTCTGCCGAGTCCGGGACCCTCTATAAAAATCATTAGTCATGCTCGCGGCTTTTTTATGGCTTGAAGCAATGCTTAACACTTACTTGATGCAGTATTGTTCGAGGAAGACATTTTTAATATGATTAATTTGTACTTCGAACCAAGTCTTTATCTCTTATCCGGGGTTTTGGGGTTTTGGGGTTTTGGGGTTTTGGGGTTTTGGGG